TCCGAATGAATTTCTTGCTGTCTTTTCCAGCCCCTGGGGAGATCCCGGGGTCCTTGATTATCTTGTCCCAACCGATTTCGAGTACGGAATTCATTACCTCGGGTGTGAGAGGTGTTGAGGCTGGTACAGCCATATCCAGGGTTCGTCGGGTTCTGTCATGGTGGCACTTCTTTGAGTGTCTTATTCAGCCCAGCTACATCACGCGATGTATTCAATTTTCCCTCTAAGTCACTTGTACTGTGATAAGTGTAGTAGACTTGATAAGTAAAATATCTTTAAGACTAGTAAGTTTGGTCCAAGCTCGCATGCTCTAACAGAAAGGAAAACAACACCCCCATCCATACCCTTCTATCGTTACATGAACACTGCCCCATACCAAGGAAATCTCTGGAACCTGCTAGAATCCACTAGTACTCGAGTACATTGATCGGTCATATGACTGTGTCGATGACCAACAGACCCACATCACGGGTTAGGAATAGGATACCGTATATTTCAATCCGATGAAATGCAGGAAATGCTAGTAAATCCATTATGCGGCCCATCCCCATTACTCCTCAAAATCTCAAGAACCCGGAAGGTAAAAGTAGTCTCCTACTCCTGGAAGGATTGAGGAGATTGGGCAAGTATTTAGGTCCTCTCGGGTTCGCGCAGAGGTCTGAGGCCCCACGCTCAATTCTTTACTAGGACAACAAGAGTGGCGCAATAACTTTAGCGGTGACCTCCTATTGCCCGTGCGGCCGCATAGTTGTTACCCGCGGGTCCGGTTCTCTCTCGTTTTTGCGGCACGGGCGACTCGCAAAACTCGGTTCCAGAGTTGTATCAGGGGTTTGTGACTCGGGGAGATGGGTTGGGTAACCCAGGAACGAGGCTAGAACCGCAACGAGGTGCCGCGCCCTATGGTATCTAGTACAGAGATCGAGAGCCGCGAAACTTGAGGATGCGGTAGTTGACTAAGTGCCAACAGGACCCGCAATCCCTGTGCGTTTTCAGGACAAAGAACTCTCATACGGTACTTGTACCGTTATCACCACTACTACACACTATCACCCCGGCGCTAATAATAAGTTCCGATGGGACTTTAAGATCTCGTAATGTTATTTGGGGTCCTAAGTTTATCCACTGCACTTCCCGACTACCGCCAAGACCCGCGCTGTCCCCCCACCCCCGCCCAAACCTTGTCATACGCCGCATATTTTCTTGTCACGTACTGGAAGTGTACCCTCGTGGAAGCCGGAGTCACGCTGTGAGGTCTGCCCTCTCACCTTTCACTGTTGACTCGTAGGCGTGCTGCGAGATTTGGAACTGCTCACTGTTACACAATCGCATTAGGAACCTTGGCACGATTATGTAGCTTAACCCACTTCGACCAACACTCGAGAACCAACGGTGCTGGTGCACCGCTGTTCAGCCTTACTCGACCTGGCGTGGTAATTTTTTAAACTTCACTTTCACAACACCCGAGTGTACTCCAGCGCAGCAAGTGGCTTTCTTTTGTTTCTCTTTTTTGATAACCTGCGCACCCCGGTTCAAATCCTTGAACATTCCTGGCTACACGTACACCAGGCGCCTGCATAATATCAATTTTGTTTTTTCACAGCGTCAGTGGGCATTACAAGTAGACTCAAGGTGTGGAGTGGACGGTCTGGGCTTACTCACTGTTCCGCCCTGTCATTTGAGCAGCCTGGTGCAACGTCCGACTTTGTCACTTTGTGATTGGAGATGCGCCCCTGCCCTCGCGTATTCGTGCATCGATGCGAGTGGGATCGTTTCACAAAGATCGTTGAAATAGTGCCGTGGTTGTACTCGTACTGTACAAATACCCGGGGATATGTTTTCGTACATGACAGAGAGATTTAACCAGGAAAGTAACCCCTGTCCTATGCGAGAACATCTCCCCGGGCACCTGTACAGTACTCGAGTACGGTAACCTGGGATAGCGTCCGTAAGGTCATGAACCGCACGGTACCTGGTGACAAGAGAACGACGGGAGCCCTTTAGATGACGGTTTGCGGATCTGCCTCGAGGGAAATTGTGGAATTCTGTCATTATTGCTTTCGCCAAATAATTGGGGACGGGGATGGGTGGGGTCTCTCCCCGGGCCGGGGGCATTGGGGGGGGGGGGGGGTTCAATACTTTATTGATGTTGCTGCAAAGTACTGTACAGTACTGTACTGGGTAATCGAGGCGATGCTGTACTGGAATGTCTCAGTTCATTGCCTATTTTGGGTGTCGCCCAACTTTTTCCTATGAGAAACGAGTGCCATGGGGGATGTTTTCGCACACACCAAACTGGCTTACTAGCAAAAAAATGCTAAAAATTGGTGAGGTCACAAAGTGGTGTGTGCGAAAACATCCCCCATGGCACTTGTATACAAAAAACCGCTCAAAGCACGCCAACCCGCGCCTCAACCCCAGCTACTACACACGGGTGCCGCCCCACTCAACGCAGCCCCCGAGTACGATACTACCCACGAATATTATGTCGAGGTTTGTTGTATCTTGTCTTGGAGAGGGCAGACTTTGATTGGGGGAAGCATGCCACATGCGCAAGACTCCTTCCTAGACAGTGCCGAGCAACTCCACCGATATGTGTATTCAATATCGAGCATTATTTTACATAGTAGCCTCAATATTTTTATTCTCAGGAAGGCTCTCCTCGTACTCATTGCTTCTTGTACTCGAGTACTCCGGTGGCATCCAATCGTAAACGTCCACCCAAATACCTGTGACGGTGCTCGCCGAGGTCCGGAGCCCAAGTAGAGCCAGACCAATTACTTTGACTAAACTTATAGAGCTGAAAACTGGGTGGGTACCGTACGCTACGCTTTTTATCTCTCTCTCTTTTTTCTTTTCATGGGCCTTTTCTCAGCCTGATCGCCCAGGAACTCTCTTCCTGCTCCCCAAATTCCCACATATTTTACTTTTCCGTCTAGTATCCTAATATACATGGATGCAATACCAAAAATCTTTACTCTTCACGGGACTCGATCGCAACAAGCCAGGATTCTACAACGCGACAGACTCGAAAGTGGAGAATTATTCGGCCTGGTGTCGAGGGTTGGGCTCTCAGTACGGAATATCTCGTGTCATAACTTATTAGGGGGGCCTGCGAGAAGGATATAACTACGAAGGAACCATGGATCAGTGGGCCACCCTCCCCTCTAATGGATCTTTTTCAGAAATGTGTATCATTTAACAACCGTGCTAGCGTTCCTCAAGCCCAATCCAACATCCATGGAGGCTGCAGTGGGAATAGGGGCGATAACAGTGTTATTGGTAGTAATAATGCTATTGGAAACATGTATGTGCTGCCAGGTGCAGCCAATCTCGGAGTTGGAAATAGGTGTGGTTTGTTTGGTGTTGGAGACGAAGGTATTCCAGGGTGTTCCGAGATAACTTCGGGCAAAGAACTAACGTGCTAGTGTCCCAACCGAAACAAACATCGGGGCCCTATCGTTTGATTCCCTACGGCAGGAACACGTCATTCACTGGCCGAAAGGATCTCCTTGAATTGCTAAAGAGATTTTGCGAGGGTACCTCGCACAACCGAGTTGCGCTGCACGGATTAGGTGGTTCCGGGTATGTATCGATTATTCCTCCATATGAAGGATAAACTAACCTTGCTTAGAAAAACCCAGATTGCCCTCGAGTACATTTATCAGCGGGTCAACGAGAGCGGTTGCCATGTTTTCTGGGTGCACGGAAGCGGGCTATTAAAATTCAGTCAGGGATTTAAGCGTATTGCACAGCTTGTCGGAATTCCTACAGCGGGGAGCAAGGCTGACGGAGAGGGATTCTTGCTGAGCGTAAGGGAGTGGTTTCAAGCCCCGAACAGTGGCGACTGGATTCTGGTTATCGACAATGCCGACAATAATGCCGACTTTGTTGGAAACAGCAGCCCTATCGCCAAATATATTCCGCAAGGCATGAAAGGGACGGTGATATTCACGACCAGGTCTAGGCAGGTAGCATCACGGCAGGGCTGTAAAATGATCGAGGTTGGCAGAATGGAGGAGGAAGATGCGGTGGAGTTGTTTTCAAAACGCATTGGTAGTGGGGATAGTTTGGGATCCAAGGAAAAGGAGGCGATAAAGAGGATATTGGCCTTTGTGCATCGCCTGCCGTTGGCTATCACAAGTGCAGTAGCCTTCATGATCGAGAATGCGACATCACCATCCGTGTATTGTACGATTCTTCAGGATGGCGATGAAAAAGCGAAGAAGCTGCTCTCGGAGCAGTTTTGCGACATCCAGCGGGACTCTCATGCGCCAGAAAGTATTCTAGGCACATATTTTGTCACATTCGATCACATCACGGAACAGATGCCCCTAGCGGCGCAACTTCTACGGTTAATCGCATTCCTCGATCACCAAAATATACCGGAAGAGTTATTGAGCCAACTCAGCTTTGAAGGGGTGGATGATCCGGTTGAGTTTCGTCGGGCCATTGGGAAGCTTTTGGGATTCTCATTAGTTACGATTGTCGAATGCCAGGAGAAAATATTTTACGAGCTTCATCGCTTGGTCCAACTATCTTTACAAGCGTATTTACCCGTGGAAGAACAGAATAAAGGGAGGGACGCTGCGCTAAGAGCGGTTTCTCGATTGTTTCCCAGATATCAGACCGAGTGGCGATATCTTGGTCCCGCATACATTTCGCATGCACTTGCTGTTACAAAAGATTCAAGGGATCCCCTTGCGGAAGAGCTTTGTTTTCGTATAGGAAGGTATTTTCTGGATATTGGCTCCCACAATAATGCAGAAATACAATTTCGTCGATGTATCGCACTTCGCGAAGGGGGTAAAAAGTATCGCTGGGATGATGAGGGTCGAGGGAGATATCGGTTCCTGGGGCTGGCGTGTGTATATCAAGGAAAGGCCGATGTCGGCGAAGAGATATTTCGGAATTTACTAGCGGGTGTTGACAAGTCCTTGAGTGCAACCGACCCTGACGTTCTGGATTCCATCTCCTGTCTGGCTGTGGCTCTACAAAGACAAGGAAAGTACGATGAATCAGAGGAGATGAATCGGCGTGCGCTGGAGGGGAGCGAGAAGGTTCTTGGGCTAGACCATCCCAACACCCTAAAAAGCGTCAACAACCTTGCTCAGGTGCTACAAGACCAAGGAAAGTACAGCAATTCAGAGATGATGAACCGGCGTGCGCTTGAGGGTTATGAGAAGATTCTTGGATTAGACCACCCCCACACCCTAACAAGTGTCAATAACCTTGCTTTGGTGCTGCAAGACCAAGGAAAGTACGATGAATCGGAGAAGATGAATCGGCGTGCACTTGTAGGCCGCGAGAAGATCCTTGGGCCAGACCACCCCAATACCCTAACAAGTGTCAGCGACCTTGCTCTGGTGCTGAAATGTCAAGGAAAGTACGGTGAATCAGAAACGATGAATCGGCGTACACTTAAGGGGCGCGAGAAAGTTTTTGGACCAGATCAC